CAACCATTATTTGTCTCAAAGTGGGTTCTTCGTCAACCAAACTAAAGATATTTATAACTCATGAGCGAGACATTCGGTGAAGCCACCTTTACAGGAACCCACAAGGAAAAAAATAAAAGATAAAAGAACGTTTTCAAATCCATAAGCATTCTTCAGCTAAAGAGTACTATAATCTAGATGGATATAGAAGCTGGTTAACATAAAATGAAACAGGACGTGTACGCTTTTATGAATTGTGTCAAGAGTTTGTTTGACTAAAGCCGCCCTCAGGAGTTACATTGTTTTAGGTCATAATCTTTTTGACGTGAATATCTCGAACCGGTTTTAGAAGAGAGAGAGAATCACACATATTTTCAGGAAATGAAAAGATAAAAAGTCGTTCTGAGTAAGAAAAGGTTCAAAGATCATTGTTCGGCAGTTGCCTTACTTTCGCAGGTGTTTGCTAATTATTGCTGCATGACCTACTTTACCCATCCAAAGGTTGGGTCTAGGACCGACGAGCGTGACCTCTATCTATTGCGGCATGGAGATAAGATGAAAGATTATACGGAAAAAGAAACCGATTAACCTAAGAAAGTTTAAAATGGAACAAAAAAAAAAAAGAGCGATAATTTTGAGTACGATGTTACTTGACGAGAAACTAATACTCAAACAAAGGCTATTTCAACCACGTATGTGCACACACACACAATATAAAAGTATTTTCCACTTTCATTTTCATGACTCGATAACAGCTGATAATCTAATTATTGCACCAATACAGATAATGACAAACAAATTCAATGATGTTTGTTGAAAAATAGGCTTTTTTGTTGTTACGTTTTCACTTATGTTACCATAACTTTGTTGTTATTGTTTGTTTGTTTGTTTTTAATTATGCACAAAGCTACTCAAGGGCTATCTGTGCTCTGCCCACCACGGGTATCGAAACTCGGTTTCTAGCGTTGTAACTTCGCAGACATACCGCTGTGCCACTGAGGGGGGGGGCTTGTTGTTATTAAGCACAAAGCTAAACAATGGGCAGTATGTGCTCTGCCCACCACACGTATCGAAACCCGATTACTCTACTGAAGTTTTCAGTTTATAATTTAAATATATCTCTATGTAATTATTAAATGGCCATAAGAATAAAATAAAACGGTAAGTAATATATTTTACATCAAAGCATTTAATCTCTCTTAGGGGGGAAAAAAAGAACAAAACTGTTCCTTAGTGTGAACAAAAATAGTCAGACACTTTCACGTGTTTTCGACGTGAAAAAGCGGGTCATTTAACCTGTATTATCTTGCTGTAGACTGCGTGATTTTTCTTATTACCATCGCCAAAACCTCAAGAAATCAAAAACACAAATGAACAGTCTACATCATATACATATGCACAGGCAGCATGTAAACACACTCAAAATCAAGAAACACCTAAACAAGTGAAGAACACACAACCCACAAGTATCGCAACACAATAAAACAAAACAGTAAAGCAGCCTAAAACCGTTTTTACGAATTCATAAGACAATACCGAAATCCTCAAAATCAAGAATCATAAAATAAAAACATAAAAACATTACTATTCATCAACACTTTACACCTTTACTTCCACATATAACACAATTAGTAGTAAATTTACAAACACGAATCTCACAGAACACAACTACACAGTTACACAGAAAAGGAAAGTAGTAACAGAAAAACGCACAGTTACACAGAAAAGGAAAGTAGTAACAGAAAACACACAGTTACACAGAAAAGGAAAGTAGTAACAGAAAACACACAGTTACACAGAAAAGGAAAGTAGTAACAGAAAACACACAGTTACACAGAAAAGGAAAGTAGTAACAGAAAACACACAGTTACACAGCAAAATATCAATCTTTGTTTATTAAGTCTTAGGTTTATAAATCAATGTTTTTCTCATGTCTATTTTTTCTTTTCGCATATTGTCTATCTATCATGCAAAGTAATATTCATTTTAAAATTAAAATACTTAATGCATCAGAAAATTTTGAAATTTTAAATGCGAAATCTTTATAATGTTGAGATAGTTATCAAGTGTTTCATAAGAAAAAACTTTATATTTTATCTGTTATTTTCAGTAATTAATCTCTGTACGGGTTCGGTAGATTTTACAGATCTCGCAACCACCATAAAAAATTTGTAAATATAAATTATGCCTCTTTCATTCTAGAATGAACACAAATTATAACAAGAAAACACAAATGTTTAGACGAAATAGCTTAAATCTCATAACATTATACATTTATATATATTTATTATTTTTATTATATTGACCTTTTAGCTGTTCCTGGCTAACAATACAGAAGTTATAATGACGTGGCTCATGTTACCATATAAAATAACATAAAACTGATCTTTGGTCTGTGCAAAGTAACTTGTCTTGGCTGTGTTTCAGTAAACTAGTATTTTGTAAAATACAGTAACATTTCAATTATTACACATTATATATGTATATAGATTATTGCTATTTTGAAATAAGTTCTTAAACATATTTTTCCTAAAACATAGAAAAGTAAATAAAGTAAAGCAAACATATCTAGTTACGACCTTTGTACACGGTTGCTGCTTTATGTAGGTTGCTAAGCCTTTAAAAATTTTGCACGTGGAAGATATGAAAAAATATTTTTTTAAGGTTTTTATATATACATTTGAATAACTAAAAAATCATAAATTACTACATTAATACCTCAGAATTCCACTATAATTTTTAAAGTTTAGTAACTAAGACGTATTTTAGTCTAAAAAAAATATGAAATTTTGAACAGACTAAAAACACACCCTATCTTGTTGAAATATTGGTTCAAAAGAAAGAAATGGCACCAAGTTAGTTAAAATGGCTGAGAAAGCCACTAAGGGGACATTCTGAGCTTCCAGTTGGTTATTCATGTCATGTATAGAAAGAAGTAAGTGTATATAAGGGAGCATTTCCAAAAATGGACAGAGGTGGGCAGGGTGCCACTGTGAGCAATATCTTAGCAAATTGAAAAGATAAGATGCTCTTATTTTATATTCTAGCTTGTCAATATTGGTAATTTGAGTTTCTAATTCGTTCGAAACTATAGACTTAGTATATTGACTTCACAAACATCTAATTTGAACTAGTGCTGCATCCAACATACCACGTGACACTCAAAAATCCATGTTTATCTGTTTTTTTTATATTTGCTTTTAAATTAAGAAATTGAGTAATATATGATACTAAAATTTGAATTATAATCTACTGTTTGATACTAAACTTATTGACATAAACTCATGAAATAGTAGTTCAATAAAATTTTGAATAGGAGTCAACAAATGATATGACATGGCCTTTCTTTCACCCATGACCTGTTTCGAAAGGGTTAAGCTGTGGTTTTTGAGGCTACTTTGTACTAATGTGTATTCTGTTGTTCTAGAGGTAACACTCCCCTGTACTTACAGCTAGAATATTGGCAAGGTGTCTACTGGATTGCCACGTGTCATGCAAAGAGCATACTCTCTATTATTTAACATTACTTTTGAAGGTTGGGTTTTCTACTACAGCCATTTTTACCATCAACAGTACTTTTTTTTATTCTCCTGAAAAAAAAAAAGCGAATTATTTGAAAGTGCTCGAGTTTTGGAAACCAGCACTAGATTCATTTTAGAATTTTTCATACAGCTCCATTTGAAACATGAAATTTCATCTCAATCCGTTGTTTGGAGAAGCCTTCAATAGAAAAACTTTGATTTCTACATATTTGTCATGTCATTTTTGTCCTTGGAACCATGAGTGCAGTCAACACCTTACTACTGGGAATAGTATGATTGTCTGTTCTTTTGTAGGCATAATGCCAGTGTGGTAGTGCCTGATTGGTTTGTTAGCCAGTCAGCGTAAACCAGTACGACTATACTCTGGGGCAGTTCATTTTCATGCATAAGAGGGGGGGGGGACAGAGAAATTCTATAATATTTCCATTTTATACCCATTTTCTTCATTGTTTTTATAATTCTTTCCAACAATGTCTATTTATAAATTTGATATACAATATGAAGAAAGGATTTAAGGGTTATTTTAGTAAAAGTAAACTTGGCATTAATATGTTGGGAAAAATGTGATAGCGATACATATAACAATGTCATCTGAGTATTGACTTTACCTTTGAGGAATTTCAAAGTTTGTCACCAGATGGTAGTATAAAAGCTTCTGTAGCTATTAGAGTATTAATGCTTTCTTACTATTTTTCACAGATATACGAAGGTACTTCCCAGATCCAGAGGCTGATAATCAGTAAAGAGCATCTAATGAAGGCTAAAGAAACCTTGATGTAACAAAAAAAAAAGTCAGAAGCAAATAAAATGCCAGATCTTGAAAGCACTGAATAAAGGTCTACTTTCAGGCCTACTGACATCTGTAATTTGCTCAATCAACTGCTTATATGGGGGGGAGAAAAAAAGTTTAATATTTTGTAAACTCTGTGCACCAGATTTGAACTTAATAATCATAATTAAAAAAAGTGGTGGCTAAATGATTAATAAAATCAAATACAGTAATACTTTATAATACAAAAATAGTGGTTTCTCTTTATAAAAAAAAAAATAATTGTTATATTTTCACATTACAATTTTGACTGTATTCAACAAGCCAGAAGTTTCAGTTTAATCAATGTAATAAAATATTTTACAATTACATATACTTCTTGTACTATTTTTTTTTTTCACTTAGTGAATGTAGTTGGGTATCAATAGGGTACCCGAACCTCATAAAAACAGTATCTGAGATTTTTGAAACTATCAAATCATTACATTTTCTTAATAGTCTGATTTGATTCAAATTCTTTGTTTAGGTTCAACATGTCTGTAAGGGGATGGTTAAATACATTAACTGAAAGTTAACATGCAATGGTATGTTGGTAGATACAAGTTAAAACTTGTGGTTCAGGAGTCTATGTGCTGCTCTGGGTGAAACCCCTTTTACACGTTTCCATTCTTATGAGTTTTTCTTAAAACTTGCTTGTACCTAATTTTTATTTTTCTGCAAAATCTTTTAAATTTGTTGTAATCCAATTTATTAGTGACCATTCCCTTCAAATTTTGCAAGCAAAACAAAGTGTAGTAATAAAGTGGCATATAATTCTTACACAGGCAAAGATAAGATATCAATATAACGTTCTCCATATAATGTTGTTTGTTGTAAGCAGGGCCCTACATTTTCAGTTTTGATTTCATTTAAGTTTTCCCGCGAATTTATCGGTGTTTATTACAACAACGTAACAGATGAAAATTGGTGCAAAAAACTCTTAATAATTTTACTAGGTAAATGTAGGGGTTTGTTTTGGTGGATACAAGAACAGGGGGAAAAGTATTTTGTAAATTAATGCCTTGATGAATGGAATTAAATGTGATTTGCTGCAGAGATTAAAACAAAATGCGGCCTCTGAGTTTAAGAAAATTATATTTCTCTAATTCCCAATAAAACTTTTCATTTTAATAGAGTTTACTGTTGTAGACTTAGAACTTTTAGCCTGTAAGTATTTACATTTAGGCCTAATATTTTAAAATGTGTAAGTGGTAGGTATAAGTGTGGATGTCATGACCCACATGGTGGGCGTGGGATTCATCAGTATGTTCAGATGCATACGCACTTCAGAGCTTGCATGGGCGCCCATTTGTTTACTATGTGTTACTAATACATTTCCCCAAAAGGGGAGCCTAAGGCTGTCTGGAGCAGTCACCTGTGTTGTCTATCAGTTAGTCAGTAGACACTAAAATTACATCACATAATCCCTCGCTTAGTGTCACAATTTATCTTGACGTCAGTAAAATGTGTGCATGCCATGAATCATGAGAAAAATTATGCAGTCTGTACTCTACAGCACTGCATGACATATTAACTTGAAAAGCAAGAAATAAAAATGTTTGTTACTCTTACTTTTGGTTTTATTTACTCTTGAAAACGAACACTTTTGGGGACCCTGAGGAAGTACATCTATTATTTATACATGTATCTCATGCAGTGTATTGTGTTTTCCAGTAAAACAAGTTATTTTTTTACATATTTAAATGATACAAAAAAGTAGGGTGATATTCGGAAAACCAAAACGAATAATACTCAGTATGTTTTTGACAAAAATTGGTTTAAACTGAAAACATAGGGCCCTGTATGTAAGGAATAACGTACTTTAAAATTATGTTTAAAAATAAGTTATCTTTACTTAATTTTTTATTGCTGTACAACTTAAATGACAGTGTTAACATACACAAATTCAAGAGTAAAAGTGTAACAGTGAAACCACCTATGGTAAAAACTCTACAACAACAGTTCGCACAGGAAATCCAACAGTTTGTAACTGGTTGTGTATTGTTATCAAAATTTTTACTTCTTAAAATATTTATTCCAGAGTGTTTTTATTGCCAAAAAAATCAAGTTAAACCAGAATACTGTTGCGTCAGCGAGGTCACGTGACTAATATCACGCAACCCCTTTCTAGAAATATCCTGTTACTTCAAGAATGCCCTAGCATTTACTAGATATGTGTTAGTCTTGTGTTCACAACGTGACGGGGTAACGAGGTATGGTGTAATTTAACTGAGTATTGTCGAGCATAAGCACGTGAGACGTTCTAGCGTTTGTTATAGAGCGACTGTTGAAATTAAGTGTATTGGTAAAGTTGTATTAGTAAAGAATAAACCAGTTTTATTTAAGAAAGGAATTGTGTCGCTAAAGTTTTGTCGGAACGAAGTTACGGAAAATTAACTAACGAACGGAGACATAACAATACATATATTGATAAAAGTAAGAATTACATATTGTCTGAAATTTTCTTAAATAACTTACTTTTAAATTTAAGAAGGCTGTTTTTTAATCCTATTTTCAGTTATTGCTATATATTAATGTATTCTTATATGTTATATATTGAAATATAAAAGGAGTGGTTGTTCCAGCATTTTATTGACTGCACTATATCATCTAAAATAAAAACCAAAAGAAAACAAATGATGGGAATAGGTTTTCATTTATTTACAGTCACATATAAAAAAATACATATTGTGACATCTACAGGTATTTTTGATAAGAGCTGTATTATCTATAATGTATAATTACTTATGGTTGTTTGTTTACTTTGGTAGGTATCTTTATTTTTCACAATAATGGTTATTGAGGTTAATTGAATTTTTGAGGCTAGCACCATCTATGTAAAGTTTCAAAACCATGAAATAAACTGTCAAGGATTTGCTTTCACAAGTGAACACTGGAAACAGAAAATTTATTTAAAACTTTTATAATAAGGGGGAAAGCATTAATGTGTAATATATTAACACTTAGACTAATTGATGTTGTTTAAGATAAAATGAAAGAAATGCCATCAAAAATCAATACCCTGATTTATTTACAACTTATCTGTTTAGCATAATTTTTCTCAATGGGTATAATTCTAATTAAAGGTGTTTTAAAATTAGTCAAACAATGCAAGTCGAAGTTGAGAAACTTCTTGTATCATATAAAGGTGAAAATAATTGAAAAAAATCATGATTGCTTTAAAAATGGTGGAACGTTTTTCTTTTTTTTTTTTTCTTTATAGAAATCAGCAAGGAGGTATTACTAGAATTTTTACATAACACTCTTACTTGTATCACTCTAAGCCACATGGTGTAAGCCAAGCAAAAAAATCCCCCTATATGCTTTTTGCACTGATATAACACCAGTAAATCTCTGGAATTGGTGAAGTTTACCCACAGTTTGAAATTATGTTACTTAATATGCATGCTTTGAACTTAAGTTTACTGGCAACATTTAGTCCTGTTAAATTATTATATTTCTAAAGCATCTGAACCTATTAGACAATATTCATTTGAAAAATAACACTGAAATTGACCAAATGTTTATAACTTGTTGCTTGCTCTAACTTTAGTTAAAATTTAATACTGAATTAAATATGATAACAGTTAAAGAGCTCTTTATAAATGACAGCAAGTAAACCTGAAATCAAAATATTTACTGTTGGAAATATTTAAAATAGAACATGGTTTAAAATCCTCGTTAGATAAAAAATACTAGAGAAAAAAGGAAATAGTCTTATTTCTTCAAAGTGTATCTTTAGTGTTATAATTTCAACCAAAGTTGTCAAGGAATAGATATAATAAGGTTACATCCTTTTCGTTGATATACATTTACATGGCTTAAGCCAGCTAAAATAATGCATATTCTATTCACCATACTCGTTAATCTAGAAACTAATTACGACCCTGGTAGGGCCTTAAGTTAGTCCTAACAGGAGGTTCTGGAGCAGGCTTTGCATTGCTCAGGGGATTAGCGGGCTCAGGTGGAGTCTGCGGCACTCGTACTGGCTGGATGTCGTTAAGCCCTCGTCCGTTTTCTTCTTCCCGGGGTGCTGGGGTTGTTGGAGGAGGTTCGCTGAAACGATTGAAATCAGAAGTCATCAATAACTTGTTTTGCTTCAAAAACATATATTTCCCATTCAACCTAAATCATAAGAGGCTGTCTAGGGCGCAAAGTACTCGAGAGTCTATTGTGAATAGGGATGCAGCACTACATCATTCATTGAATTATCGCCAGCTCTCTAAAATATTGTTTTACTTCAATAGAGTTCGCCGGTAGCTCGGCGGGAGCATATGAGGCCGTTTAAGGAATAGGAACGATTCTTCCGCCTGACTCCCATTCTCCAGCAGCTGAAGGTTGCTTATTTTTGTAACTGTCAGTAAACCCAGAAGCACGTATGAAACTGAAAGTCTTTAACGTATTTTTTACATTCAAGATATTTGGAAAACATGAAAATTCCCATCATAAGAGTAACTAAATCACAAAGCATTTACAAAAGGTAGACATTCCTCTCCAGGTTTGCATGGCTAGAGAATCCAAAGTTACTATAATACGCATTGATGTAGGCTTACTGACTCAAACACAAGTTTTATTATAAACTTTTTTTTTTATATCATTAAGTGAATACAGAAATTTTCATAATAAAATTCCTGTGTGTCATTTAGAAATGAAAGTATTTGTCTGAAAATATTTGTCAAATGATAATAATAAATAAATAAAGTACGTATTACTGCTGTTAAATAAATTTTATGCCATATTTGTCGATAAATTGAATTTGCTTTTCTATTTCACCTTTCGTCATATTCCGGTATTAAGTTTTAATGCTCATTTCATCATTTATGAAAATGTAGGCTTAAAAATGTTATTTTTATATTACGATAGAATCCAGTGCCGTCTAGGGGGATTTAACTTTTATATTTCAGGTAAAAATTGCATGATCTGTAAAAAAAAAATTTGACAAAATATAAAAAAAAAGATATTGAACATTTTTACTTATACCTAATATGGGGAGAACTTTTATTTTTTTCCTGTTTAGTTTGAAATTATGTTCACCAAAATAATTTATTATCGCTTTATAGAAGTCATATCAACTTAAACTCTTACCAGCCTGGGACCTTTTCGGCGTATTCACATTGAAGGGTGGTAGGATTGAAGGCGAGACGAGAAGCGCAACGGAATAACCGAGGATAACCATTGGTACAAAACCAGTAGATAACACATCTATTGGGGATGGGTATTGGCCCATGTGATACGTCCTTGCAGACAGCTGGAAACAGAGAAACAGATGTATTTATATAAAATAATAGACCCACTGTTGAAAGATTCATACCAATATAAAAACACTTAAATAAAAACTTATGCATTATTTTAAGTCAATAAAATAGATGTCGGAGATATTTCAAATTTTTGTATTTTATGATTTTAATGAAATATACATTAGATTTTAAACAAATGTAAACTGCAATTTGTATAAATTCTAGAAATACGCCTATTTTTATATATATTTTCTATTTTTGAAATAAAGTAACATGTAAGAGAAAATTATTTAAAATTTCAAAATATTAAAGTTGTATATTGAGAACGAACCGTAATCTTATTGGAGTCCAATAAACATTTACAATGAAATATATGTAAATAATATATTTAAAGAATGTGCGTGAATACATGAATAGTTTCAGGTTTAGCCTCACATCAGGTGAAAGATGTTGAAATCATGTTGAAACTAGTCATGTGATTTATTCTTTCAAGTTATAGAATATTTTCCTTATCTAATGTCAGAGAGGCATTACTTAGTCCAAACAACAGTACACATTTGAGCTATATAAGAAACGGACTTTTATGAACGGATATTTGACCTCTAACGCTTTTGTAGTAGTAATTAGTTGGCCAACCAGAACCAAAACTTTTATGAACACAAACTAACCAGGTTAAATAATTCAGTCAACCAGATGATTTAATCTAAAAAAAACATCACTAATGTCGAAAATAATTAAAATATTTCTTCCACTAATTCATGGATACAACAACAAAAAGTACAGTGAAAATTTTTTTATTAGGTATATACCCAGTAAAAGATGAAGGGGTCGCAAATGTATAAATCTGAATTGTTTTAGTGTTTTTAATACTGGGTTTAACAAGTGTATATATTTAATGTATCAAATTAAAATCACTTACATTTCGAGCATTGATTACATACTGTGTGATTAGTTTAATGTAATACTGAGTATAAAACTAAAAGTCGGTATATTTTACATTAATATTTATAAAAGTGTATTATTAAAGAATGTGTGTGTATAGAGATACTTACGATGCGCTTGACAACCTTGCACGTTACTAGGCCAATCACACGCCTCGAGCTCGGAGCTGTACAGGAGAGAGAAAGGGCATCTATGAAACGATGCTGTTCCGTTCCAACACTCCCAGAAACTTCTGCAGCTGGTCTCATGCTGGAAACGACCCCACAACGATTTACAGTGGTCCGTTTCAATAAGGGCTTCTGCAAAATTAAAGATTAAAACTCAACAAACATTTTTAGACCGATCTTGTAAAATATCAAAAGAAGATGCAACAAGCTAAATTGAAACATATTTTCCCCTCTCAGCAGAGACTCGCCAGTCTTGCTGTCTCTGCTTAGCAATGTTTTTGTTTTTTCCGTAAAGGTAAATAACGTAATAATTTTGTTTAATGTTACGAAAAACAAGTTTAGAAATATCAAAACATAATAACTACTACAAAAATAAATGCTCCCAGTGACTCAGCGGTATGTCTGCGGGCTTATAGCGCTAAAATTCGATACGCGTGGTGGACACAATACACATAGCGTATTGTGTATCTTTTTGCTTAACTACAAAAACAAATGGCTCAATGTAAAAACAGATAGCTTTTAAAGCTACTTCGAAAAAGAGGGTGATAGTCTGATGGAATTTGTTTAATTTCATTCATTTTACAAGTGTTAACGTTTGCTGTACCTCTCAATTTTACAAAAATTTGTCCTTTTCATGTCCGCGTCTTACAGTACAACCTGAATCAATTTATTTATTATTTTATTGTTTGTGGCTTAAGATGTTACTATCTCAAAACACTACTATTATTTAACCCTTTTTCCTTTTAATTTCATATTTTCCCCCTGACACGCTCAGCAGCTTGGCTACCCAGTATTTATATGATATCCGTTGAATGTTTGTTTCATAGTAAAGCCACAGTGGGCTGTCTGCTGTGTCCACCGCGGAGAATCGAACCTCGGATTTTAACGCTGTAAGTCCGTAGATGTACCATAGTCCCACCGGGGGACCCGTTGAATGTTCCATGTCAAACTGGCTACATTTCTTCATCTAAGTAAAAACATTTTTCAAACAATAGCCTTATTTAATAGTTTCGTTTACGGTTTATTTACTGATTAATTATTTATTTTTTTTTACAAGTTACAACTTTTACAGCACGTTAGATTTGTATTTAAAACAGGTACGACGTTTTGATCGAATTCCAGTGAATGAAACGTTGTACCTGTTCTAAATACAAATCTTACTTACTTACTGTAAAAGCTGTAACTTGTAAGAAAAAAAAACACTTATTTATTTTGAAGCTTTTCAATTCAAATTTCTCCCGGTATAGAAACCTAGATACATAAAGTGTACAGATATTTCTTTATAATATGTATTTATCTCTTTTCTTTTTAGGTTACTTACGTCCCATTGTACGAATTCCATCTGGACATCCAGCACGTTTTGGATAATCACAGTTTTGATAAAGACCCCGACGTTTGCCTCTGAAAACAAGACCATTGGGACATTCTTGCAGTGTCTCTACGCCATCTTTACATTCATAGTAGTAATCACAATATTGCTCATGAGGAAAGAGGCCATCCTCAGAACATTTTGAGTCTCGCGACCTCTGTCCCAAACCTGAAAATAAATGCATACTAAAATTTTTCAGCGACAGTAAAGAAAAAAAAAAAAAACACTGAGAAAGATAAACGTTCAAAGTCACCTAAATAAATAATTTCAAGACATAAAAATACTATGACCTATATTTCCGTTAATTTGTTCTTCAAAGTTATGTTATGGCTTTGAAAGTATGTGTGTGTGTGTGTGTGTGCATTATCCAAGTTCGCATTTTACGTCCTCTTGCGACCACAAAGTCTCTTAGTAGGTCAGCGGTATGTTTACGGAGTTACCGCGCTAAAATCCGAGGTTCATTCCCCATGTTTCACAGACAGCCTATTGTGTGGCTTTGGCTTAATTACAAACAAACAAGCAAGTCTATTAAGATAATAAGTCGGTCAGCAAAGAAATTCTGTTGAAAGCGAAAACGTTATTTCTAAGCTTAGAACTACAACTCTGTACAACTACAGGTGAAAATAGCCTGTAGTAATCATCAAGGAAGGAATAACCTAATCTTTTATCGTTGCGTGAATTAAACTTCGCATTATTTACACCAAATAACCTAAAAGATCCCGCCCAACGAAAGAACACGCTATAACAGTATTGTTCTAACGGTGCCATATTCAATAGGATCGATGTTATAGAGGGATGGCAGCTAATTAACACCACCCGCCGTCAATTCTTGTATCAACGAAAAGCGGGACTGACCATAAGATTATAACGCTCTCACGCTGAAAGGTCGAGCATGTTCGGTGAGGGAGATTCGACCCTGATTCGATCGCCCTGATCACCAGGCCACGAGGAGAACGGCCTTTAAATTGAAGACTTATGCTAGAATATTTTAATAGTTTTCTTGCTTATGGTAAAAAGTATGTCAAATTATAATAAGGTGAACAACTTTCCTTGCGGCAATATCCGGGTTTTCTTTATAAATATTTGCTTTAGAATGTTATTCATACTGATTATCGAAGGTTAGGGCACCAGTAAATCACGTGGTCATCGTCGATTATCGGGCTTTAGGTCTTGGGATACCTGGGAGGGTCAGGTGCTAATTAGACATCCTGAACTGTTACTTTTGGTTGAACTGGTTTGGATTTCTTTTGTTTTCTATTACTACTTTCCTTTTCATATGAAAGCATTGTAATGTTTACTGATAATGTACCAAATTTTGTTAATATTCACTTTAAATGTTATAGCATGAAAACTATAAGAAGCACAAAATGATTACGAGGTCAGTCCCAGGGACCGAGCCCGGGTTGAAAGAGTTAATACTATACAATGTGCAGTTGAGTGTCGGCCCACATTTGTCCAATTAATAAACTACCGTGTGCAACTGAATAGCGCAAACCTATAGCTATCCAGTTAAAATAGAATTCCATGTAGATATTTAAAGTGAAAGCTCACAACTGTCCAATTAGTGAAAACTTCACCAGGAGCAATTAAAAAGTGAAAAGACATACCTGACAGTTAACAAACTCTACCATATACAGCTGAAAAATGTAAGCCCACACTTTTCAAGTGAATACTCTACGATATGCGATTGATATGTATTTTCCCACACAAATACAGTTAATAGAGAATACCATATGTAACTGAAAAAGATAAACCTTTGCTTGTTCAGTTAATGGTCAGATGACCAAGTTAAATTGAAAATTACAGGCCCATACCTGTCTAGTTAATATAGCTTCTACCATGTGCAACTGGAAAGTGTAGGTCAACAACTGTTCAGTTAATAGAATATCTACAATGTACAACAGAGAAATTTAAACCTACACTTATCCAGTTAATAAAGACTACCAATTGTAACTGAAAAGCATAATCCCACAATTGTCCAGCTTGTCCAGTTAATAGAGAATACCACATATAAATGAAAATTTAAGCCCACACTTGTCAATTTAAATATATGCAACAAAAAATTGTAGACTTAAACCTGCCTGATCTATAAACTCCACCATAAGCATCTTACATATACTTGTCCATACTTGTATGGTTAATAGAGAACTTTATGTGGTTAACTTTCTTGCAAAAAAAAATCAGATTATTTTAATAAAGTACTTTTACTAAAGATTTGATTCTGAATTTAAAAAGCTTTTACTGAATCAGTCTGAGTGCACGGTGATTTTCATGTTTTTCCATCCTAAAGTTTTCAATTTTCATTTGCATAACCACAAGAACCTCCTAAATTTATATTAGTTTTTCTTTGGTAAAACCTTATATTTTATCTATTATTTTCTCTACTCTGATACTAACTGCATATGGTTTTGGTCAGTTTGACCAAACTAGTACACACCAGGTAACAAAAAAAATGATAAATAAATCTGAAATATCCTTTTTTGTTTCTAGAATGATTGCACATTGTAACATACAGTTACATATTATTTACTTTTATGTCAAAAGTTAATACTTTTTAAATATCCTGGCCATTTAGATTTACTGCTTTATACCTACACCTAGGGTAAAGCAAAACAATTTATCATAGTAGATAAGCTTTGTGTACACAAAGTATCGAGTTGCCAGCACCTTTGATCAAATTACAATACACTGTGTTCGTGTGATGTGCACATGCATAGAATATTTTTTTTATTTCATTTTTTTTCCATTTAAATTTTCTTATCTAATAAGTTTCTAATTTTCAATTTCAGTTACTTTTATAATGATAAGTGAAAATATTAAAACAGAACAAGAAATTTAGTAATTAGGTGTGATTCATACATTTTTGGAAGTCATAGTTTAGATTAAAGTTAACCTACTTTTTGGTAGGGTTGTTGTTATT